TTCTCGATCGGTATGAGTGGGAAGGGCCACGCGAGGATATAAACACTGCTTTGTCAATTTCCGAATCCTGTTTAACCAAGAAACCCCTTACTAGTAAGTTTATAATTTGCAACCTATTAACTCACATCTAATATCAAAATCTGGACGTTTCAGAGGTAGTGGGTGCGTAGGCAGGGGAAGGGGGCGGTGTGGCAGTTCCGCGCCACTCGTTATTGGGCTGCGCTCTCAGCCCCATAGGGGCGCACGGGTCGTTGACTTTTTTGGAGAAACAGGAGGCTTAGGAACAGGAGGCTGTCCTAGGAATAACCCGGCACCAAAAACCATACAAGTGATGCGTTGCGTTTCTAGTAAGTGCGCTATTCGCAAGGGATCTGCAAAGCCCAAAACACTGATGACACTTGAACCGCAGTCCCGCCTCCTAGCCAACGCACCCGCTGCCGTTAAATGAGTTATAGAACCTTTGTCAGGAAGAGTGTCTGGAGAAGAGGCCTACAGTCGCAGGATGTAGGCCCGAAAATCCAAGCGGTGCGGTATTCCAAGACGCTTCGAGCAGCGTTTAGACTTCGCAGTGGCGCTGTTGCAATGGACGTGCGTCGACGCAGCCAACTCGTGAACTAGCGCGCGATGCCAATCGATACCAGACAGTGTGGTCAGGCAAGGCGTACCCCCTTGCTCTCCATTTTCTCTCGGAGCACTGACTGCCAGCGCCGATCCGTCTATGGCTGTATTCCCGTCTGTAGTGTATATCATTGGCGCGATTCCAATGGTAGCTCGTCAACGCGCGTCATCAAGTCTGAACGTTGCCTTACGCTATCGGAACATGTAATACAGGTTGCGAAGAACAGGAATCACCCCGCAGCCGCACGCAGGCACTTACTTCGTGCGCGTCGCCCAACGTGAACCTCTTGGACCGCATCCTAAGGCTTAACGGTCACGTTGTCGCTGTCGGTGTCGGACATGCTCCGCGAATGGCGCGACTTATGTGTGGGCTGCAAACTAGATAACTTCGGCGTAGAAAATAAGAAGACCGTTCAGAAAGCGTGATTGTCAGTTAACCCCCTCATTCTCCCCCTCCCTTTCCCTCGAACATGAATACTATCTTTTCTGCAGTTGACGCCACTGACGATGTATTACCAGGCTGCATGATCAGATAACCCCAAGCAGCAAAAAAAGGAGCGTTACATTCAAGTTGCTAGTATTTCCTAGCTAGTGCCTGGCCATGCTACGGTATTTCTACGTTGAACGATCGGGTCCTTATTCGAGTGCCGAGCTAGTGATGCCGCTCGCAGCGGGGTCTGGAGTGCTAAAGGTCCCAATCGCGACAGCGCAAGAGTTGACTTAGATGACAGGAGTCGACGCGCAGCGCCGCTACCACTCTGAGTTGGTTGGGTCCTGAAGCGAATGCTGCATACGTCACTTTATTGGAAAGTAGCGCTCCTTACCCCTCGAGGGCCGCCTTCGCTTCGCCGCTGCAATGTGGCTGAATCGTCCACCATTCACGAAATTCTGGCAACAACCTTCTTTCTCTCGCGGACCTCAATTTTAATTTTTACAGGAGCGAAGCTGGCACACAAAACATATCCTTTTGCTACGACAGCTGTTTTCAAAGAGAATATACTTATGCTATAACCTGAAATTCGAGCACCATAAACTGGTTTATTGTAAACAGCATACGTTTGGAACACAACAACTTGAGTCACAGATAACAACTGTACACAACAATAACAATAATCATCTGCTACAAATCAAACTACGTAGTTTCTCAACTGATAAAACAAAAACGCTAACAAGGGCAACTGGATATCTTAACGCTATAGGAAAATGTGGCAACGGAGTCAAGAGAGGAGGGGCGGTAGGGAAGGGGGGGGGTGGCACGCCACGGCGCTATCTTGTACCAGGGCACTTCCTGCCGTTGGGAAAATTCTGCAAAATAAGATCACTCCTCGGGGCTTTCTTCCCTGATGAAACCCCATTTCTCAATCCTCCATCCTACCTACTGCCTTCGATTCTCTCACATCTCTACCACTTTTCCGTAGTCTTTTTTCCCTAAAAATCATCACGTTTCTCGATGAGGAAAATACCGCCAAGTCGGAGGGAAAAGAAGGGAAGGAAGGGTGTAAATGGCACAGAAACGGAAAAAAACGCGGAAAATCAAAAATCGAAAACATTTTTCTTGAAAGCAATTACGACCCTCCTCCTTGCAGGGGATCCCCAACGTAGGACGTGCTTTTTCGTTACACGACTTCGCAGGTCTTATCAAGATGACGTGAACAAGACGCACAGAAGATCATTCAGTGCTCCTCCCCCCCCCCCACTAAGCCGAACTGCGCCAGCAAGTCTAACTGAATCTTTAACATATAAACAATTCGAGTGGGAATAACAAAATAAGTTTGACTGCAGTAGTCCATTCTGAAGTAATGTGGCCCTTCTTTCGGAAATATAGCCATACCCTTGGACCGTTGCCACACTTAATGGCCACTTCAAGGCTTTTATTTCTTAGACAGAGGTATCTATCCCTTTGAGGTTCGAGGGCTTTCTTTTTACTAGGAGAGAAGAGTAGCACTGATACACCATAACTGCTCCAAAAAAGAATAAAGTAGGCGGTTTTAAATCAAAGTTGCCTTGTATCGACAAATGGTGAGGGACCGTAGCAGCCGTATTCTGCATACGGGTTGTTAGTATTCGTGCCCGGAGTTTGGTTTTGTGCCGGGTTCCTCCCGCGTCCTCTTCCTCGAGGAGAACTCTGACCTCGGTTTCTTAAACAGGAGCATTTAGGTGAGCAATAAGAGATGACCGTGATAGATCTAATCACGTATAGCCAAAATTTGGAAGTATAACTAACCCTGGATGACCACCACGTGCGCTATGCCAGTTCCATGACCCGCCTCGTCCCGAGCCTCGCCCACGATGTCCTCGGTCTCCTCCTGAAAATATCTCTTCAGACAAGCTAACCGGCAAATTATAGGGAAGAAAATGACAAACCCCGTCCTCGCTCGGTGGTCGAGTCAGAGAATTGAACTTTACGTTTTTGACCTCGCCGTTGCCCTTGATCTTCTTAATTATTTATTGTTCAAGCAGTTCTAGAAATATGCACACCGGCTGGAAAAAAATCAAAAAAAAGAACCTGGACGCTTTGCTGAAGCCGCCTTCTGTTTGCGATATTCTCTCTTCCTTCTCATCATCACTGAATACAGGCTCGTCCTCAGATGAAGCATCATCAGATACTGCTCTACTAAATTTGAAAGATTGCAATAATCATTAGTGGAAGGGATCGAGCAACAACAACCGCTACGAAATGTTCCAAAGACTAAATTCAAATTGAAAAAAATACAGCTACCTTGTATCGGGATTATCTATAACAGTTTTAGTGTATTCCTCCGCTGAAGGGGCATAGTAGACTTGCATCCCAACACTCATTTTTGGCAGCAGCCTTGGAATTTCAAGAATTTTTTTGGTCATAAGCAACTGGTTCAGTCAATAAAAACTGCGCAGATGTGCCATAGGTCCGCTAGAGCGCGTTCATACTTCGTGGCAGTGTTTTGGGCATTTCGAGTGACTAGGAAAGTGCTTTTATCGACCCAGCATTCGAGCATCGCCGGCACAAGGCGTTTTGCAACGTGCTCGAGAGTCAACAGCCCTCTTGAGCCGCGGCCAGGTCTTTCAACATAATTACTATACCCTATACTCTCTTAACCCGCTCACAACCGCTCGAAACGACGAAGCGCTCAATTAATCCCTTAGGGAAACTCAACACTGTCCGGTGTTAGGTATCGATTTCGAAGTTATGTACGTCAAGCTTACCCTTTCAAGATGCTAAGATTAGACCAACTGCAAACCAATCCTCTTCTCTTGTGCTTGATATGCTATAGGAAATAAAAATGGGCTTCCCTCTACCAGTGGCCGATACAAATCGAAAACCACTCTAGGAGTGTGAGAGTGACATTGATAATAGTTAGATTGAACGGAAAGGACTAGTATTGTGAGGTTTCCATATGATGTATATTCTACTACTTCACCTTGTCGAACAAGACAGAATGGAGAGGAGAAAAGCACGGCTTCACCCGCAGATTGGAATAACACACTGAAATTTGCACATTTCACCATAAATATAGTGCTTGGAATGCATTCTTTGATGCTATCGCTCAAAATTCTACTAGAAGCAGATGTGATCTCGCGGTGGACGGTAGCAGGCACAATCGCAATATTACCGTCCCGCCGCTGGTCGGTAGACGACGTTGCTCTCGCCTACACCGTGACTTTGAGTGCAGTATAAAGACGATAACATAATTACGCCCATAGGGTAATCTAACCTCGCTGAATACCTCCACCTTAGAGTTTGCGCTTCTCCAGTCGAGAAACTGATAAGGCACGACAAAGTGGATTGTTCGCACGATACCCACGCCACCCCGACGGTGGTGACTAATAGACCGACTGATATCGGTGATGTGCGTCATGTGCGTTGAAATCGACACACCCCTTCCCTCTTTATACGGCATTTTTCCCAGAGAAATTGTGTCGGCGGCGTGGAAGGGCAGAAGGTAATACAACGCGCCAAAAGAACAACGGATAATATCTCACAGAAGGAAACAATTTTTTGCGAGGAACCATCTCCCTACTCCATTCCCATCCTACTGACCATTTTTCAGAATGCTCATAGCCCTCTCACCACGTTGCCTGAGGATTTGTTCGCGTCAATTCTACAGCTTTTACCCGAAAATTGAGAGCCTTTCCGTTAAACAAATGTGCGCTTCAACCATGACGCGGAGGCGCTGTGCGCGTAACTGAAAACAGGAGAAAAGGAAGAAATCAAACGACCACTAACCTTTTTGTCACAAGGGAATGGTTCCAAATTCCCATGAACGGTACATCGATGGAGTCTCAGATGCTGATTACGAAAAGCAGATTGAAAATGGCTTGCTGGGGCCTCAGACGGAGTTCTGTGCGCCAGTCAAAGTTGCAGAACTCAGTTTTGGCTCGTAAGGCGCTGTGTGGATCGATTACCATGCAAGTGCCTACCTGCTGGCTTGATGGTATACGAGTCTGCGCTTCAAAAGAAAATGCTTGTGGCGTTTAGCATCCGTTTGGCGCGAAAGTGTTTTGCTTCGCTTTTTAAAGAGCGTTTAGGCCAAATTTTAAAATTCTGTCCGAGTTTACGGCCCAGCGGAACAAGTAGATCAAGTACATGACGTACTCGATCAAGTATGGATTGGTCACTATCTGCCCTCTCTGAACTCATTACCCATTCGACAATTCGAAGTTTCGGCCAGAAACTGGTTCCTGGGGGTATTTTGACCCCTGAACACGAATATCACATCCGTTTGAGGAGAAAACGCTTGCCCTCACGTTGTTGTTGGCATCAACTGAATAGGGAACGAGTGTTCTCCGATGCAAAAAGGATGCGAACTCGTCTCCAGTGGTTCTAAATTGCCAACCAGAAAACCAGTTTTCTGGCTCGAAGATATTCGAATTTGGTCGGATGGGTAATTGTTCGAGATACGGGCAGATAGTGCGCAAAATCCATACTTGATCGAGTACGTCACAGTATTTTATCTAACTTGAATTCTACCTGCTCCTCACGACCCAGTAAAACTCGAGAATATTTCGAATAATTAGCAACGTTAAATAAGCTCTTGTTATGAAGGAGCAACAACGTAGCAACGCAAAAACAAAATCTTTCGCGGGAACGGGATGCAAATCACAAGCATTTCCCGTTTGAAGGCGAGACCCGTTACCACTAGGCGCAGCGGCACCGCCGACGACCAGCAAGCGCTCACGAGCCAAAAACTGGAGTTTTCGCAAACTTTGACCGCCCAGAGCTTGTTCTGGGAGGCCCCCATAGACTTTACTCCGCTTATTCGTAATACAGCTATCCGGACACTCCTATCGATGTACGTAGGTCTACATTCGAAGTTCCATGCAGGCGAAACCATTCCCTCTGTGGCAGACGGCAATTTACGACCCTCTCCACGTTCAGCACCGAATATACTGGCCCCCCCCCCCGATGGTTATCCCCACCGTATGTGCCCTGGTTGTTTAGCAGCGCGTTGTTGCTTTTCGGCCAAATTTTACAATCAAAGCTCCGGTCCCAGTGAAAGAAGAAATCACAGTTGAACGATTAAATCATACCTAAACAGTCAACGATGGATGTTACATGACCGATAGGTTCCAGTGGTATAGATTCAGCACAGTGTATCGAGAGATTTTCCAGTGGTGGTAAGTTATCGTAGCTGCAACAATGAAGGATAGCATGTTTATATTTGAAAGAAGTTTCGAAATGGGAATACTGGATTGCCATAGAGGTTCACATCCGAAAAGACTCACTCGTGCTCTAAATCAGCGCGATACACTTTCTTCTCAGTTCTCAATCTTTTCTGCTTAGGAACACCGCTAGGATGTTCTTCTTGAAATTTTTTGAGACGCCATTCGCAAGACAATGTTTGTAACCTGAAAATTCCATCGTATTGAGTACTTCAAGCGTGTGTGAAAGCCCGCATTTTGACCGATAAAAAAAGCTATGCCACTAATGAACATATGAAGAAACCACAATTTGTAGCGCCTACCGGGGAATGCAAACTTCATCATTCGAAAAGTGAAACTCTCCTCTCGGTTACGTTTCCTGGACCCGCTTTTGGGACACTTTTCCTTAAGGAGAAGTTTTGATCGCTAGTAAGCTACATATAATATAATACTTTCGCGAATGCTCTGAGAGTGGTAGTGCGTCAGACAATAGCGAAGCTTTCCCATCGAAGAGAGCAGGAGAAGAACTCTTCCTGACGGACACACGTCCTTCGATAAGTAGCAACTTCTTTTCCTTACTTCTGGCTATATAATGATAGCCTTTATGAATCCCGAACGAGAGAATCTGAACGTAAACGGCAGCATCACTGAAAAAGGATTAAGCACTCCATTCCACAATGGGAGTTGATCAATTCCTCTCTGAGATGCGCCACCCACTCAGCGATAACTTGCACCGATATGGCCTACACAATGAGTTGCGGGGCTAGCCGATGTGCAAGCCAGCGGTCTTATCCTCTCAGAAGACTGTGATTCCAACTTCGATTTTTGATTTCCAGATTCGCTGTGGTTCCCGGAGGGCAGAAAGTTTGGTAGGTCTGGGTGTGAAACGATCCGGGATTTGATCTCCGCACCGTGCGCGTGTTAAGCGAGCCACTTGCAACTACACCATACCATAACTGCGAAAAATATCGCTGTTTAACGATGAACTTGTTCTCCAGGGCTGCAAGGTACAGCCCTAGTGAAGCACTGAAATGAAAAACAAACTTTTCGAACTCCAAATCTGAGTCTTCGTCGCTCTCCATGACAGGCAGTTCACTATCACTCAGATCGCCAAACTCGCTTCCACTTGCTGATGATGCTGAAGCCATTGAAGGCGCTCTTCGATAGTCTAGTGAGAAGAAATCCATCTAAATAAGCTGAGTATGAGAACGTAACCTATTATGCAGTCCAAAGGGAATTCATAGAGGCTATAAGTAAGCAAATAACAGTAAGAGCTCTAGTCACCTCCATCGACGAAGGATCACCCCACAGCACAACACGGTCAACAATTTCACTTAGGATTCCAGAAATCTCATCCTCCACCTGGAAAATCCACGAGCTTTAAAGAGGGACAACACGAACAAAAAAACAAAACATGAAAACCAAAACAAAACAACAAAAACAGAATTAAAACGATAAGAGCAATACTCCACGTTCAGATGTACTCTGTCACAGACACAACTTATAAGTCAGCTGTTGGCAGGCATCATAGAGCATAAGGACCTGATAACAAAACTTAGTTATTTTGGCGCCTGGGGAGGAAGGGGGAGAGGACCACAGTGCCTCCGTATTTCTTCCTCTTATCAAGGCTCAGGCATACTCTTAGTAGAGCATATGTTTTTAGTGAGACTTCCCTCGGCTGCGGCTGTTCTGGTCTTCTGCTCATTACGCTCAAGACTTTTTGAAGAAGGGATACAGAGAAAGGGTCGTGAGGACCCCCGTCCCCACCCCCAACTAATTTAGCTGCTTTTCTCTTTACCTTATCACGTCTAGTTTTCTTCCTACCCGCTTATTCAGTATAACAATACCCCGCCGGCAAGGGGTCAGGGGATCCG